AAGGAAGGAAGGAAGGAAGGAAGGAAGGAAGGAAGAAAGAAAGAAAAAGAAAGAAGAAAGAAAAAGAAAAAGGAAAAAAACAATCCCAACATCTGGATGGAATTTATTACATACCTCTCTGGGACCCCCTGGCTCTTGAATGTTTCGGCTAATGATTCTCTCTTCCAAAGTTGCAGAGGCTCAATGACTCAGCCTGCCAGGGAATGATACTGTGCTGCCAGTTACTACAAGTTTATTTAAATAGGTTGTCAAGATGCTGTAGCTGTGACCAAATCCCTGGGAGGGGGAGGTGGGGCAGCACATGCCATGTGAGCATGCTCACATATTTCTGTGTGGCTACCCAGTGGGAGGAGTATCTGCCACTCTTGGAGAACTGGAGGTTCTCTACTATATAGTGTGGTGTCCCAGCCCTAGAATATGACTCATGCAGGTAAAGGCCACAAACATGTTCATGTCTTGAGCAGTAGATCTATGTTTGATTCCAGTTATGGCTAATGTTTCTGGATCTCTAGTGTATAGCAGAAAGAGGACCAAAATGTTAGAAGACCTGGTTTCAGTTCTGCCACTTACAAGCCTTGGGATTTTAAGCTAATTTATCTGCTTTCTCTGAGCTTCCGCTTCTTAATCAGTAATGTGGGTAAATATCCTCAATGGAGATACTGGGGAATGAATTGAGATAATGGTATGTAACATGATGGTGGGGCTCAATGCACATGAACAGCATATGAACCTGAGGGAGTACATTATGGCAAAGGAGAACTCTGCCTTGAAAAAGGAAGACCCCACAATTACAATGGGAACCAAGGAAGGAGTCCAGTGACTGCCAAATACTCCCGTCTTAATGCAACTTTTCGGAGGATATTTGCTTCTAAGGCAGAATGGAAAAGGTACTAAACAGGAAGTTAGGAAACTGGTGTTCTAGTCCTGATTCTGGTAACAGAGCTAGATAAATTTGGGCAAGTCATTTAATCTCTTTGCGTCTGTTTCCTCACCTATATAATTGTGATATTCATACTTTCCTTTTCCAAAGCATGGTGTAATTGTGAAGCTTAAATAAGATGGGGTCTATACAATAAAATATAAAACATATAAAAATAAAAATACAACGTATATGAGTCAAAAACTTCAAAAGAATCCTGCCAAACCAGCAGTGTCTAATATGCTCTGGCAAGCTTGTCTGAAACTTAATTTAATCCTATTTTTGTGGCTGACCAGAATATAACTGGCAATGCCTTCACTGAACTCACCCAAATAGCCAGTCCCTTGGGTTCTGAGTGTAGTCCTTGAAGGGCAATGAGAAATTATACTAGGAGATGAACAAAGGCTTGGCTGCAGCTTTTCTAAGTCTCCCGTGTGGGCCCATTTGACGTTTTTAAGCCATGTCTCTGACGGCTAGTACTGAGGGGCATGTTTGGAGCCTAATGGCTTCAGGAGATTGTTCTCTGCTCTGACCTTAAAATATAGTGGAGCAAGGGCGCCTGGGTGGCTCAGTCGTTAAGCGTCTGCCTTCGGCTCGGGTCATGATCCCAGGGTCCTGGGATGGAGCCCCGCATTGGACTCCCTGCTCCGTGGGAAGCCTGCTTCTCCTTCTCCCACTCCCCCCTGGTTGTGTTCCCTCTCTCGTTCTGTCTCTCTCTGTCAAAATAAATAAATAAATAAAATCTTTAAAATATATATATATATATATATATATAGTGGAGCAAGTCAGGAGATTTGGCAGGCAGGGAAGGGGTCAACCTTGCAACTTTGAGAAACTTAAGACAAAGTCCTACCCTCAAATCACTCATCACCCAGAACCTTGTAAACACTGACTATCAATAGCGACCCAGAAGGAGAATGGGTCCTGTTTATCAGATTTTTTGTTTCCCTTCCCATCCAAGAAAATACTTATAGAAGAAAGTTAGGAAAACCCAATGTTTGTCTTATTTTTTGCTTCTGCTTTTTCTTCCACGACCCAGCACATTGCAGATCTGCCCTGGGTGAAGAGATTATGGGAGAGGCTTATGGAGCAGGCTATCAATTCTAAGGCACTGAGGGTCTATCCCTTTCTTGTATCAAAGGGCTGCCTGGAATGTTCCTCTCATTTATAGGTCAGCCTGGGTGCTAAAGCAAAGGCATCTGCCCCAAACTCTTCTGCATGCACATGGGGACATGTGAACATAGATCTTTGCCCACCAATGCTGCTTTTTGCATGGAGTCACTGAAGCTGTGTGTTGGGTGGGAAACAGGGAGGTAGTGGGTGGACAGTGAGAATTAGGATTCAACCTTTCCTCAGGTGCCCTGGTCTTGGTCTGCAAAGGAAAAGCCACTGCTAGCTACCCCAGTTCCGAGCATGCAGCATCTCCTCCCCAGTTTGTCCATAAATAATCCCTGCTCACATAAGTGAGTAAGGACAGGAACCCACTGGAACTAACACAAGCCCTCACATTTAAAGTCCTAAGCAGATCCAAATCCAGGCTTGCCACACTGGGTCCATGTAGTCTACCCTTGTAGAAGGGGCTATTAGCATGAATTTCTTTTTAATACTTGCGGATTCTCCTTCAGGAGCAGCTTGGAGAAATCTAAGACCCCCTCTTAGACAAGCCGAATCTATTTAGATACATGTAAGCAAGCTGCTTCTTAAATATTTTTAAGATGTGGGTTATGTCCGTTCATTAGAGACAAGAGCAAATAGGGACAGTTTCCATTTGGGGGGTATCTGGTCAGGAGGCTTTTAGGGAATCCTGATGTTCTAGGCAGTAGTAGTCCCAATCTTCCATCCTTTATTATTTGACAAATAATAAATATATATAATGCTTTATAGTTATTAGTCTTTTGGTCTTGTTTCTGGAACCCATGCATCTGCTGACCTTTCCACTTGGAATGTTTTTAAAGCATATCCCCATAGAGTTACCTCCTTGGCAGGAGGGCTATACTTTTGAGCACAGGGCTGCTGGGATTAGGGTAGCTGCCTCCCCCTTACCCAAAAAGCTTGTCCCCTGGCTGGCCCCCCTTCCTCTAGTTTTTCAGGCCCTGTGATCTTTACTGCAAAGCAAACCATATGGTTCTGATTCTGGCTTCTGACTTACCAAGAGCATTTCATGTCTCTCTGGTGGCGGGAAGCCCTCTGGACTCTTTAAGTAGCTGCTCTGGCATTTAAGAGAGGATGCCAGCTCTTTTGGACTCTCTCACCAGCTGGGCATAAAAGCCCAATGGATGGTAACATGCAGTGTGGAGGAGGGGTGCCCAGAATGGCTGTAGAGGTGGGGAGACATTCCTGGGAGTCAAAGAGGTGGACTCCAATTTAGCTACCTTTGGGTATCTGTCCAGAGAACTGACTTTCCCCCCAGATTTCCATCTGAGTCTTCTGATGAGATGACCCTCCCTAGAGACGGGAGAGCAGGACCTAGTCCTTCTGGAAAAGATAGGGAAGGGAAGTATTGTCTGACATAAGGAACCACACAAAGATTCTAATCCCACAAATTGGTGTTTCAGTTAGCAAAAACAGCTGCAGTCAGATTAACTTCAGAGGAGCTTCCATGGGGGTCAGTGGAAGAAAATTCTGTGATCTGAGTGGTAAGGAAGGTGAAGGTTAGGGGAAGTTAATCACTTCTCAGAAGTGATCAAAGATACTCTATGTGAAAGGGGTGAGGGGATGGTGACAGGCTAAGAAAAACCCAGAAGTAACATTTTGTTTATTTATATAATGCTTTATAGTTATTAGTCTTTTGGTCTTGTTTCTGGACCCATGCATTTGCTGACCTTTCCACTTGGAATGCTTTTTAAAGCAGACCCCCATAGAGTTATCTCCTTTTTTTTTTGACTCAGCAAAGTCTTCAAGCATCTCCTATATTTTGTTAGTTATCCCTTCTTGTCCTCCAGATTTCAGTGTCTCCTTCTCAGAGAGGGCTTACCTAACCAACCTCTCTCAGGTGATCCCTACTTCACTCCCTATCATATCATTTATTTCCTTCCTAGAACTCATCATTATTTGATATTACAGACATACCCCATTTTATTGTGCTTCACTTCGTTGTGCTTTGCAGATATTACATTTTTTACAAGTTGAAGATTTGTGGCAACCTGCATTGAGCAAGTTTATTGGTGCCATTTTTCCAACAGCATTTGCTTACTTTGTGACTCTGTGTCACATTTTGGTAATTCTCACAATATTTCAAACTTTTTCATTATTATTATATTTGTTATGGTGATCTGTGTTCACTGATCTTTGCTGCTGTAATTGTTTGGAGGTGCCACCAACCATGCTCATATAAGATGGCAAACTTAATTGGTAAATGTGTGTGTTCTGACTGTTCCACCAGCAGGCTGTTCCCTCATCTCTTTCCCTCTCCTCAGGCCTCCCTATTCTCTGAGACACAATATGGAAATTGGGCCAATTAATAACCCTACAGTGGCCTCTAAGTGCTCGAGTGAAAGGAAGAATCGCATGTGTCTCACTTGAAATCAAAAGCTAGAAATGATTTAGCTTAGTGAGAAAGGCACATCAAAAGCTGAGATAGGGGGCGCCTGGGTGGCTCAGTCGGTTAAGTGTCTGCCTTAGGCTCAGGTCATGACCTTGGGGTCCTGGGATAGAGCCAGCTTCTGGCTCTCAGCTCAGTGGTTTTTCTGCTTCTCCCTCTCCCTCTTTCTCTGTGATCTCTCTTGCTTTCACTCCTCTCAAATAAATAAAAATCTTAAAAAAAAAAAAAAAAGCTGAGATAGGCCAAAAGCTAGATCTCTTGCATCAAACAGTTGTGAGTACAAAGGAAAAGTTCTTGAAGGAAATTAAAAGTGCTATTTCAGTGAACACAGAAATGATACGAAAGCAAAGCAGCCCTACTGTTGATATGGAGGCCGTTTTAGCGGTCTGGATAGAAGATCAAACCAACTACAATATCCCCTTAAGCCAAAATCTAATCCATAGCAAGGCTCTAACTCTCTTCAATTCACTGAAGGCTGAGAAAGGTGAGGAAGCTGCAGAAGAAAAGTTCAAAGTGAGTAGTGGTTTGTTCAAAAGGTTTAAGGAAAACAGGTGTCTTCATAACATGAAAGTGCAGGGTGAAGCAGTGAGTGATGAGAAGCTAAAGGAAGTTATCCACAAGATCTGGCTAAGATAATTCATGAAGGTGGCTACAGTAAACAACAGATTTTAGATGAGATGGCCTTATATTGGAAGAAGGTGCCATCTAGGATTTTCATAGCTAGAGAGGAGAA